GAGGAGCGGACCCGGGTGCGCATGGAGTGCGCGCTGGCCCGGCTGCGCGCGGAGCTGGTGAGCGCGGGCTGCACGGCGGGATTCGAACTCCCGAGCGGAGTCCTCGGATCCGAAGCTGGGGCGTAGCCCATAGGAGGACCCGGGTGGGGGGCACAGGCTTGCGGCTGGGGTGGGAGATCTCTCTTGGGGGCCCGATTGCCCCTAGACTGGATGTTGAGACCTCCTTGGGTCACAATTCCATGGATCAGGGCTTGGCTCACGGTTCAGTGCTGGCCCAGACTCCAGGAACCCTTCCCAGGCTGCTTCTCTCCTTTTCTATCCTCTAGTCTAGAAGCGTCTCCATAGCGAACTCTTAGTCTATATATGCTTAGCGTATGGAGACGGAAGTTCCAGTGAAACCGACGACCTAGAAGGATAGAATGAGTCCATCAGAAAGTCTAAGGCATGCCAATTATTTTTATTCTATCCTTTGCTACGAATTCAGAAAACGACTGGGCGTTCAACAGGAAGGAGTGTTTGTAGAAACTTTCGATGACTTTATTTTAATTAAAAAACTTAAATTAGACAAATCGAAAAGGGCAAAAGTATAAAGAACTCAAACTTTAAAATGGTGACACGGATGAATGCTGCATAATGAAGAGACTTCGAAAGTCCCCTGCATCGAATGCGACAAATAGCCACCCCTTCAGAACAGAGTTTAGAAACTTCGGCGGGTGATCGATTTTATTTCCGATTTTGAGAAGGGCAATTTAACCATATTAGCACTCTGGATTTGATAAGGAATGCATTGTGTTCTCATCTGGAGTACAAATGGTGAGCCCGAGAAGCTGGATGGGGAAGGAGCCTTGGTGCCTGGACCTCACTGCACACCAGGAGGTTGGTGCTGTGGGTCAGGATGCCACACTGGAATGTCTGGACCTGGCCGAACCCTCTATGCTGCTAAGTTGGGTTATGTCACCCCCTCCCCTCATCTCTTGCTGACTCATAGCAAAGTCATGCTAGACAAGTGCTGAGGCCCCTTTAACCTTAACATCCCAACAAGTCGCTTCATTATTGGAGGCTTAGACAAGTAATGCATTATGGGTGAGAGAAGGTAGAGAGTGAACAGATTCTGCTAATATTTGCTGGCCCCACAGCTTTGAGAATGTGAACTAGTCGGCTTGAGTTTGATTATCCATCTGCAATGCAGAGATAATCTCACAAGAGGACTATCATAATTATATGAGATTACATTATAGGCATGCCTAGGCCATACACACTCTTTATTGACTGTTGTTTTTATAATTATTATAGATCTTGGAAGCTGATTGTGCCTAAAGGACAAATAAGAACACACCAAGAATTGAGGATTCAGCCAAGGAGGTGGCGCTTTAGAGGCGCTTGTGGACAGGCCTGAAGACTGGATTCAATCCCCAGTCCCCACAAGGTGGCAGGAGGCAACCCACGCCTTGACGGGCATGCAGGAACACTGTGGCACAAGCATGCCTACACTCACACATGCAAACACAGACAGGCACAAGTAAAGAGATGAAAAAAAATCGAAGCAGAACTTAAAATTTCTGGAAAGGAAGTGGGGAATCTTACACATAGTCAGATGCTGTTTTCCTGGAGTGTAGGGCCTGGCTCATAACTGCAGGAACTCCCTAGTCCGTGTGACTGATCATAAGAAAGAAGCAAGGGAGTGGATACTTAGCTCAGTATCATCGCCACTAGAGGTAGATTTTGATCTGGGCCATTAGCTAGATCTCTATGGGAATCAGTATGCAATGCACAGGTATCATGTATTACAATGGAGTTTATGTAAGGAGCAATGATGGACAGTCAATCAGTAATGTTATGTATAATATGTTCTGTTTAGCTTACCAATGAATGGCATTAATTTCTAAGTTCTTTGAATGGATATCTGGAGTTAAACCTAAAGTTTTCTATGTAGATAGTCTTTGTTTTTTTATTCCCTCAGAAGTTTTGGCGCCTTCATCAGGCTCTCAAAGGGATCCGTGATGAAAGCAGTTTAAAAACCACAAGTGTTGGAATTTCACAAATAAGTGTGAATTACACATCCTTTACTGAGATGGGCAAATCCTTATCAGTAATTTTATACCTTGATACTTGGCGTGAACGTAGAGGATGGATGTCCATCATCTCATTGATTTATCCCTTCCTTCACTCAGTCTTCTAAAGAGAACAATGAGACCCTACTCTGGATGCCAAAGCAATGCACACATAGCCGAGAACGCAGTCTTTAAGAAGTAGCCAAGGTCCGCCTTCAGCAGCAGGATCTAGTGTAGTCTGTGAGTTATCAGAGGCATGTCAACGGAATGCCTTGGAAACACGTTTAAGAGGCCATGATGCCTGACCATGGTTACAGGAGGAGTTTCAGAAAGCATTGATATTTCTTTGCATCCCGTGGGAAGAGAAGTGGGAAAGCGTGTCTTAGAACAGAGGGTGGGATGTAGGTGTGCCTCAGCATGCGCATGTCCCTGGAGACTGGCGGGGTGTCTGGCCCCCTGTGAAAGGAGCTGGCCTGGGGATGCTGCTAGGAAGTGAAGCGAGGAAAACAGAGCAGGATTCTAGAGCCTGAGAAATACATCAGACAACAGTCTGGTGGTCGTTGATGGGGCTTTTTATGGCGGTGGCTGTGTAGTCTGCTTCTGTGTGTTTGCTGGGTGCCTTGGGTGTCTGTCTCCTTTAACATCTCTAATTCTTGCTTCCGGAGAAGTGGTTCCAAGTGCAAAGAATAAAAAATAAACATCTGAGGAAAATAGAGAGATACCGCTGCCCAACATTTTCTTTTGCAAATTGAGAAAAACTCGCCAATGCAGTGTTGTAGTTTACTGTTACAGTGCCCCGGTTTATCCCGAGGGCACCTGATGACGAGCCAGTAGAAGATGATGGTACATGGAAAACATTATTATACAAACTGCATCAAGCGTGACTTCAATTGATGAAATATGCAAGTAGTTGATCTTCAGCTTTAGGTTATAATACAGCTGGACCAACCTTGGCTGGTAGACTGCCTCCTAAGGTAACCTGTCCTTGGAGATGTAATTTTTAAAATTTTATTGAAACACACGGGGGCCTCATAAACTCCCATTGGAGGAGGTCATGAATCAGCCTTACTACAGAACAGGCTTTGTTCTAGAGTGGAGAGTGTTAGATTATATAAGGACATATAACCCTACATGTGCCTCCGAGGTGTCGTTATATGTTTTTACTCAGCGGGGAGGCCATTTAAAATCCTGAAAACTTGAAATGACAAGTAATCAAGCCAATGGGCCCGGACCCTGAGCACTCAGGTGGCCCCAGGCTGTTATCCTGCGGTTCCGAAAGCTCATAAAGATAAATGATGTCAGTGGGATCTCACGCCATTGCTTGAAAACAGCCTTCGGTGCGTAGATATTTTTCACATGGACAGCTTTGTGCGTCAGCTCTTTTTGTTTTCATTTCAAGGCCATTTCCAAAGCTATTTATTTATCTGGGTTTTACCTTGTTCTTGACAAAGCTGCTTTACCAGCCAGAGCCAACAGTCAGAAAGGGAGAGCGAGAGGAGAAATACATCTTTCTCTCTGTCTTATTTGCCTTTCCTCCCAACTCATTTCTCCAGCGCAGCCGGAGAGCAGTTTCATTTAATCTATATCTCAAACTAATAAAATCCCTTATTATTATTTTTTTTTTCTTTTTAGCTGGAATTGCGTTTCCAGAACCATCAGCTGGCCCGAACTTTACTGGATTTAAACGTGAAGATGCAGCAGCTGAAGAAGCAGCAGGACCTGGAGCGTGCCTCCAAATCCCAGAGCCCAGAAGATGACGCCATGAACCCCGAGTGTGGAAATGCATAGTGGATGGCCCACGCCCACAACTCCGAAGCAGTCCCGACCCTCACCATAACATAGGCAACTCTGCAACCATTCTAGCATTAACACTAGCGATGCCGTGTGTGCATTCTGAGGGACATCCTGTCCAGCGAAAATTTAGTTGTAAGGAGGAAGTGGGGAAAGAAAGAATCTAAGAAAGGGGAGAGAGATATTTTTTTGAAGTAAAAAAATAAATCATCCATTGGTTTGACTGGTTAATATCTTAGTAGGAGAAAGGGAAGAAGGAGAGAAATAGGAGGGAGAAGAAAAAAACCAAAGCATTCCAGTCTGCCTTATTGCCAGTTTACAGTGCTGCCCGTTGCCTTACCGCCTTTCTTTCTGTAGTTTTGTGTGGACTGGCAGAATTTGTGCTTGTTTTTACTGTGTTGAATTTTGCTCGACCTAGTAGTCAATCCAGTACTCTTCTGACTCGGGAAACTGAGAATTATCAGTGCCTGGGTTCCAGCCATGCCCTTGATGTGGCCACTGTTAAGGGTGTCTCAACTTCTTGCTGCATTTAGACAAGCACTCCAGGCCTTGCTGTCATTGAAACACAAAGTGGGTAATGATTCTCCTAAAATCTCTTGCCTCAGTTGGTTCAAGTGTGAGTTTCATGATGTATACCCCTCAATGCCTAACTAATGTAGTTCTTTTGTTCAAGTAACTTAGGAATTAAAATTGTTCTTATTGTTGAATTAAAAGATCTATTGTACCCTAAAAGTGCTTTTTCAATGCAAAAGTAAAAACAATAAAAAAGTTGCAAACCTAATTGGTGTTCCTAATTGTTATTATCTATAAAATGATGCCAATGTGTGTAACGTTAGCTAAAATTAAAATTAGTTTTTAAGACAAAAGAGAACACAAAGGAGTTAGGCTTTTTCTTAAAAACATTTGCTAGGATTCTCAACATAGCTTAGCCTGTATGAATCCCTCAGTTCAAGCCCCAGCACCGAAAAAATAATTTAAAAAGAAGAAAGAAAAAAAAAACCCAACTTGTGCATAAGGATTGAGGGACTGTCTGGATCAAGTTTAGTTTGTTTTTAACTCTTTTTGCCAATAACTTAACTATTGTAACACCTTCATAATTAATCTATTGTCCCTGTAAGACTGGGATTCACTTTGCGGCTGATGCCGATTGAGTAGTATGCAGCGCCCTGACCTCTGGACTCCTTGAAGCTCTCTGAAAGAAGCTCTTGACTTTATGTGTGTTGGGATGCATGACGTGTGGCTGCTGCCTGTTTGTCGTTCATGTGTGTGGGTGCAGAGGGTAACCTTCAGGGCCTTTCCCCTTGTTTGAGACAGGGTTCATTTAGGCTTTAGGATGTTCTCCTGCCTCTGGCTCCCATCTCCCCACAGAGCCTCAGAGAGATGGTAGACTCATGGGCTGCTCCATCCAGCTTTGGGTGTGTCTTGGTGTGTGTGTGTATTCATGTCAGGCTTGTGCCCCAAGAGTGCCTTTACACACTCAGCTGTCTGCTCAGACCAATCTTATTCGGATTTTGAGGAAAGAGTTGGTGATATTACCAGTGATCTCCTTTAATTTCCTTTTAAAACTGCAACTTAAGCGCAGGAGCAGTCATTCCCGAGTACATTGTTAAGGTTAACCTTAATAAATCATTGGAATAGTCTTTGTATGAGCTTTAGTCCTTACAGAGCACAAACTGCTGACATTGGTCAGTCCTCAGTTGTAGAATTTGGTTCTGCTGGTAGCGTATACTGACGTAAAAGGAAAGAAAATCCGAAAGAGAGTTTTGAAAGTCATCAAATTGGCACTTACAGTGTCAGACAAAAAGGGTAAAGTATTTATTATTTTATTGTAAAGTTTTGTCACAAACTATTTCCCCCTCTGTCTTCAGGGACAACCAATGGACCACCAAGCCTTTTTAGGGGCCAGGGGTGCAGAAGTAGAATAAACTCTTTGTCTCAATGGTGTCTTATTGATGGCCGTCTTAAGCAGTTGAGTTAGCCTTGGATTTTGACAATGCAACATGAAAATGCAATAGGAGCTTGACTCACGGGACACGCTCATCACGTGTTTCTGCTCTGATTATCACCCAGCTTGGTGTTTTACTAGCAGCAGAAGGCACACGATTGCTTTCTTGTCTTTCCTTTGCAAGGGTGTGCAGCTGTGTGTTGTTGGCTGGCTGTGCCGTCGTTGCACAGTGGGGACTCGTGGGAAGCCATCAGGAAAGCTTCTCTAAGAGGTGTGAGGATGGGCCATCTTTCTGGGGTTTAAAAATAAGCCAGAGCAACAAACATGTGACATTCTGAAGAGATCCACGATGGGAGCAACCAAGGCCGGTGCCAGCTGGAGGGGAAAATGAGAAAATCATTATACTCTAAATTAGGCAGCAGGGAAGAAGCAGCCGAAAGAGCCCAAGGAAGGAAGAGGTTTACAAGCAGAGTGGATAAAGGGGCCAACAGAAGCGATACTAAACATGAGTTCGTGGGTGAAAATATGGTGCTTGGGTTTTTTCAAATGACCGAGTTTCTCACAGTGTTAGATGATGGCGTAGGGGATAGGACCACATTAGCAGGCAATGGTCTTTAACGCCGCGCTAGCCCCCATCAGTGAGAGGCGCCAAGTGAATTAAGCAATTAGGAGCTTTGCACAGGTTGTTAGGTATCAGATTCCTTTACAGGTGGCCTGCATGAATCACATTTTTTTTTTTTTTGGCTCGCCAAACCACTTCTGCTGGAACAGGTGCTGCTGTAGGACCCAGCCTGGGGACAGACGAGGCTGCTGTGGAGAATCTCATGAGAACTGAGCCTGCACTAGCGCAATTGCAAGATTCCTCTTTCTCCATCCCTTCCTGGCAGGGTCCAGTGCCCAGTGCAGGCATCAACTTTATTTACCACTGTAATCATGGCCGACTGCCCCTGGGTTCGGGGCCTGGCACAGGACTCTCCAGTCCCAGCTGCTTTCTGTCTTGTTTTTGTGGTTGCCTTCACTGCCAAGGCCTCTTTGCCCATGCTTTTAAAGAAGGTTAGGGTATGAGAAATAATGTGCTTAGGTTTAGGGTTCAAGCTGGCTTACTGCACCTACGTCAGCATCTGGATCTACCAGAACAAAGTTGGGGTGGGGTCAAAGAACTTCAGGATTGGTGAACCCTCAGTACAGACCATTCAAATTCTTCTTTGTGTGCTGCTGAATGTGGAGGGTTAGAGGCTCCACTTCCTTAGGAGTCCGAGTGCCACCGTTTCTCTCTGCTGGGCAGAAGATGGCAATGATTTCAGCCCCTGCTTGTGGACTAGCCTTTGTGCCAAGGACTGCATCTGTTTTTATCTTGTTTAATATGTATAGTGATTTATAGGACGTTTGCAGAGCTATCTAACCCTAATGGTTTGCCTTAGCACTGCTATTGCCAGCCACACACTTCAAGTTTAATATATATATATATATAAATCTAACAACAATACTTTGCTTAAATTTTGAGGAGACGATCAGCTTTATTCTGTTGTGATAAACCAACCCAACAAAAAAGCAATTGCGGGAAGAACAGGCTTACTTTAGCTTGCAGTTCTGGGTTGTCCATCGTAGCAGGGAAGTCAAGGCAGCAAGGATTTGTGGCAGCCAATCGCATTGTAGCCATATTGAAGAGTAGAGACACAGGAATGCGATCATGCGAGCCTCTTCCAGTCTCGTACAGTCTGGGCCCCAAATTCAGGCAATGGCGCTGCCCACAGGGCGCTGGGTCTTTTCACATCAGTTAACAGAATCAAGACAATCCACCAGTGTCGTCCCTACAGGTTCCAACCTGATCTAGAAAATCCCTCATTGGATTCCCTTCCCTTCGAGGGTGATGCTAGATTGTGCAATTTACAATTAAAACTAGCTATCTCAGCATAGAGCTTGGAGTGTATGCATGCGTGTGTGTCTGTGAGTGTGTGTCTGTGTATTCACGTGGGTGTTGGAGGTCAAAGTTGGGTGTACTCCCCTATTGTTTCCTGTCTCAATTTTAAAGACAGGATCTCTCACTGAATCCCAAGTTTAGTAATTTGACTAGGCTGAGTGACCAGCAAGTCCCAGAGCTCCATCTGTAACGGCGAATCAATCCCACACCAGTTATGTTTTAAGGGGTTATTTATTTTGGGGGGTAAAACTTACATACACCATAAACCGTCAGGAAGGGAGCCTAGTCGCTGGAGCAGGAACCGGGACCAAGCGCCGGGAACCAAGAGGCCCGAGCCGAGCTCTGTGGCTCTTTTTAAAAGAAAAATATACCACGCCCCAGTGGGCTGGTATTTCAGCAGCTATTGGCTAACGGAGCGGAAGGTGCTCCCACAGCACCGTGGGCTCGTACTTCAGCGACTATTGGCTGAAGCAGCGGAAGATACTTCCGCAGCACATCTGTTTCTGAACAAGACCTGTCCCTACTCAGGTTACAAACATTCGGTGCTCTTACATGATTTTCTGATGGAGGAGCTTTCTCCCATCCTTCTAGTTCTGCAGAATCTTACTGCCATTTTGGACTTGGACCTTTCCTGTGCCTCTGCCACCTTTCCCCGTTACATCTTAAATGCTCTGTTGGCAGTCTTCTCTGTTGACTAATAAGCCAGTTCCCCAAACACAGGAATAAAGAGTAGGGGTATAAAATCAACAAAACCTGCCCCTCTCCAATCCCTGGATGTGCCTGGCCCACAGTGCCAGGTTTTTTATCAACTGACCTGTCCTAATAACCCTGTTCAGTGGGGACAATTGCTTTTCCTATTTCAGAGAGAAAGAGAGGAAGTATCTGAGAAGGGATAAAACTGGCTTCTGATCTCTCAGCTAGCAAGTGGGAGTTTTTGGGAATCACATACCATGACTGGGAAGAGGAAACTAAGTATGAACAAATAAACTCAGTATTATAACAACAAATTATAAGAGAAGCATGTTTATAGTTCTAAGGCAGTCTTCAATGAAGGCTTGCCTCTCAAGAACTGTGTTCTCCTGAATTAAAAACCTTCAATTGTGTCTTACAACCTATATAAGTTAGTTGGGAGATTTTGGACAGATCACTATGTATCTGTCTAATTTTTTATCTTTTGAAGATGTGAGGGAGGGTAGAAATGATCCAAAAACTTTCCTTTGATTTAGAAACAACTAATTCTCCCTACTGTGGCTGGACTCAATGGACACCCACGGTAGCTACTATCTGTGCATCCCCACATCTGGCCAGGAAATGGACTCTCCCAGGTACCTCTCTTGTTCTGGCCACTGGCCCAGTTGTTGCAGTCTTGCTGATGACAGGAAACATTTCTGATCACGTTTGGTTATCCCTCGGCTCTCCTCACGTAGCTACATCTGAGGCAAACCGGTGTCTCATTTGCACTTCAGAGAGAGACAAGAAGCACTGAGAACTCTTACATGTTGTGATTTCAGAGTCAGCGTCTGAAGTGGACACTACCGGGTGACTGTACCGCATCGTGCTGTGTAGCGCTGCTGTCAGACGGCATGACTGAAACCCTGGCTCCTTCACCGTGTCACTCTCTCATGTACCTTTGTGGTTCGTTTTGCTTCTCTGTTAAATGATAATTGCCACACCTACCTATGGGTGGTTGGGAAGACCTCATGGATTAATGTCTGTGAAGTGTTTAAAACACTCTCAAGATCATTACTGTAAGAGTTTAGCCTACAGGCACCTCACTCCTCATTCTTGACTAGTAGAAGTGCCTGCCTCTAAGGCAGAGGCTGAGAATGACAAGGTTGGTTTTCCATCTCCTCTCTCAGAGCATGAAAGATGAGGAATCTGGTTCTGCCCAATAATATATAAAGGGAAAGTTACT